CCTTCGTAAGCTAATTGGTTCCTTTTTATACATGATCCCTTAGCCTTCTTACTAACCAGTCTCATATAATATTAGGTGAACCACCTGATCCTTCTCTGATCTTGAGAGGGTAGAGCAGTTATTAGGATGCATTGCGATGCCATTTTGAGGCCGATGATCTGGAGCCTGATAAGACCATTAGGGTTTTATCATAGAAGAAGAGGAAGAAAAGGGATGATCACTTCGAGGGGATCAGTCTCCTTGATCATTTCGAGGAGATTGACCTCCTAGGGTTTGTCAAAAGACTGAAATAATATTTCATTGATTGCTGAAAAGAAACAAATACATCCCTATTTATAGAGTTCCACTCAAAGTCTACCAAAACTTGGACTCTTAATAAATAAATAAATATCGAATAAACCTCTATCTAATTCTTATTGAACTAGATAAACTCAATAAAATATTATTCGAAACTTAGAAAATAAAAGGATCCTAACAATTTCTCCCCCTTCAAATCAGCCTTGTCCTCAAGATTGAGCAGCATCAAACTCGAGGAGCTTCTCTTTTAGCACCTCAATCACAGGGTATCTGTGGCACATCACAACTCGTTGATCAAATAAGTACGATCTCCACTTCTTGATAGTGTAAGCAATAGGTCAATCTTTTGGTGTAGTAGTCATTGTAGTCTCCTAAAGAACTGTCTCCATCTGATGGCTAGTAGCAGTTGTGACCTTACTTCCATGTCTTCCCTTTAGGATCATCTGCTTTCCATTAATAAAAAACTTCACGATTAGTTTAGAAAAATTTCAAAAAACATCACCTAGGGTTGATAGCCATTCAATTCTAAGCACCATTTTAAAGTCTTCCAAGAGTAGCAAAAAGAAGTCCACAAGCAACTCTTGGCTCTGTATAATCAATTTTATCTTCGAACATTTGCTATCATAAGTTAAAATCTATCCATCAATGACTTTTACTTCAAATTTGTCATAGCCTTCAATATGGTAGGTCAATCGATCAGTAATCTTACTGTCCATAAAATTATTAGTGTTACCAGTATCAATCAAAACTATAACATGCTGATATTCTAAAGTTTCTCCAACTTTCATAGTTTGCAGGTTATAGTAGTCGGTTAATGCATGCACTGTATGTATGATAGATCGAACATCTTAATCAAAATCCATACATTCATGATCAGAGTCCACATTGTTAGCTTTTGGTTCCTCCCCAATTGGTTCAATAATTAGAAGTGCCCTTGTTTACATCAGTGCTCCCTACTCCATTGTTCATCACAGTGCCAGCACAAACCCTTTGTTGATCTTTCCTTGAGTTCTTCTCGGGTTAGTCTTCAGGTGTTAGGATTTCGGTTGGGAATAAATGGGGCAAGTGGCTTGCCAATCATCTGTTTATTGCCACTTCTATTTCGATTATTTTTCCTGCTGAGTTTTTTCTCATGTAAACATGCAAATGAGATTGTAGTACGAGGTTGGTGAGCTTTGACTTCACATTGGATATCTGGATTAAGTCCTTCAATAAATATTCCCATCAGTTATCATTCAGACCAATCTCTAGCTTGATTTAACAATCATTCAAATTTGCTCTAATATTCTAGCATTGTAAAAATCTAACAAATTTTAGCGAGCTACCTATTAACATTCTCATATTCAGATGGTCCAAAGCGAATGAGAAGCCCTCTCTTGAATTGCTCCCATGAGAAGACTCCGTGGCAAGTTTCGTGCCAATCATACCATTGGATTGCATCTACATCTAGCTGGATTGAAGCTATTTCCATCTTGGATTCTTCTAAGATTCTGTGAAAAAACAAAAAAAAAATCTGCTCTAGAGATCTAATTGATCGGATCCCCATCTTTTCATCTTGGAAATTCCACCTTAATGCGTGGGTAATTTGTATCATATTCTTAGGGCCCTTTTCTTATATATCCATATCTATTCAATATGGAACTTTATCTTTTTGAAACTTGCTAAAGCTCTCCAATAGATTTTTTTTGAATTTGTTAAGGGTTTCTTGCAGTTGATTCTCAATTCTGGTTTCCAATACTTAAATTTTGGCTTTCACTGAGTTTTTGATAGCCATTGCATAAGACTACAAATCTGTAATCTCCAGTTCTTATTTATGATGTCTGGTCAAGAGCATCAGCACTGTCCTATTCAGTGTAACTTTCAGTGACATCAGCCCGAGGCAACGGCAACAACCCTTTCTCGCTCAAGCAAGATGGGGCGTGGCTGCTGGCTTCACCTCTTCTTCTTCTTTTTTTTTTTTTGAGATGATAATAACTGTGACGAAGTGCTGTAAAAAATTACAGTAAGAACGTCGAAGATCACTGCTCTGATACCAAATGATAAGACCCCTAGGGTTTTATCGTAGAAGAAGAGCGAGAAAAAGGACTCTTTGAGAGGATCGATTTCTTTCACCACTTTGAGGGGATCAACCTGCTAGGGTTTGTAGAATTCCACCTAGAGTCTACTGGGACTTGGACTCTTAATAAATGCATAAATATCAAATAAAGTCATCGAGAAAGGTTAATGTTGTGGTATTGTTGTAATCCACCTCCTCCTACCCTGTACAGCCAACATGGAATTGTTGTAATCCAGTATGACATAGACAGTGTATAAAACTAAGCAATATCAAAAGTATGTCAACCATGTCCAAGTTAAAGTTTGGTTGTGGTAAAAGTTGTCAAAAACTTCAACATATTAAACTAAATTCCTAAACAAGAAAGGGTAATGCATTATGATTCGTGAATAGAACAGCTCCATGGAAAAAGAAAGCAGTGGCAAATAGAGTTGCAAATATCTGCTAGAATTACCTAAGCTATAGAACTAGAGTGGATGATCAGCATGTTGTCTGTCATCAAACTGTCACTTAGAACACAAGTGTCATGGTACATAATTATTTGGAATCTTTATAGTAAAGCATGGCTATCTATGCAGCTTAACTGTCAATTAGAACAGAGATGCAAAAGAAAAAAACTTCCTGCAGCTGTTAAAATTAATATTTATAATCAACACAAAATAAGAAAATGTTACATTAAAAGGAAGAGCAAAATGGCTCTCTTTCTAGCAGACACTAATAGTCACCGACATGAGAGGAAAATAGACAAGTAAATCTTGATTCCGATATTCTCTGAATCAGATAACTATTCAATTTTTACATTGAAATGCCACAAGCTGTTCAGAGTCCAGAGTTTCAGATATCTATACAAACAGAAAAGCTGGTAAAAATGCCCAACCTGATTTAACCTTATTGTTAATATATTTATTTATGCTGAACTCTGTTTTTGCATATAAAAGAAAAACAACAAGAGAATAAAGGCTATATGAGATATGTATATAAGAATCTGTAATTAGAAGTGCCTCATGTCTGATATCTCATCTATGTTGTAGCTGAATAGTGGAAAACAAATTATGGACCATGATCTATATGATTCTATATACTATGAATCATTTCAATCTTATCCTGGCATCATCATTAAAATCATGTACATTAACGTAATAGATTCACCTTTCATAACTTAATATGGATCTAGGTGGAATTTATGCTCATTGCAACTCAGTTTTCTACACTTTCCAGTGTGGCCTCAGAGGACACATGATCTATAGAGTCAACCACATATTAAGCTTCAAATAGTTTTGCACAATGCACTTCTGATTGTGATTTAATTCTTCCTGAACAATAAGCTTGCTATGAGTCATTATACAGTAACAAGATGTGCAACAATTTAACAGTCTTACTTTTTGGCCGACGAGGTTATTTTTATCAGCAAATGCTTAAGGAAAACAAAAACTTATATTGCATCACCACGAGATTGTCAGTCAAAGAAAACTCAGATGGGCATCATATTTTCAGGTTACCATGTCCAAGTTTATGGTTACAACATTGTACGCTGATGCAGAAGGTTGCTTCAAATTTGTACTTAGTGTTTTACAATAGCTAACCTTTCATATGCCCAGCAAAGATACACAATAAACAACAAAACTGATTCTCCAGGCTTTAGGATCCTCAGATCTACGAAGCCCTAGACACGCTGAACAAGAGAAGCAAAGGTACCACGTTGATCAATTCTTGAAATCGAAAAGTACATGAATGACATACCGCATCCGAATCTGCTCTATGTTGTACACAATATATTCATTGTATAGCAAACTACACTGCAAAAGAGAAAGAAAACATTCTTGTCTCTCTCATAATTACTTAAAGAAAAAATTATATCTTACTATAACAACCAAGTACTTCAGAACAGAACACATTACCTGAAGATTATTTTGTTCTTTTGGTGTTCCAAGAGGGACAACTACGCCATCTTCAAGGATCTGGGAATCCAATATGTCAGGTGCTGTGGCTCCAACCCCTTTTGTGCTGCAAAACAAAGAAGGTATGCTGTATCAGTTATTTCAATAGAAAGACCACCTACTACATAATTCAGATTGCTGATATTTCAATGGTGCCTCAAGTGCCACTATCATTCTCCTATCATTCGAGGCACCTAATGAGGCCTTGAGGAAGGCACCATGTAGGCACCAAAAGGGATCACTGATAGGATTGAGAAATTCCTATTTGGAATTGACTTCTCATGTGTAAACATAGAATAGACTAACCATACCTATCAATGATTTGAATTAAACTTGCTTCATGAAAGAGGTCATTACACTCACAGCACTGTGCCAATAGTCAAAAGTGTCCTTTAAATTGTCAGCATTCAGTCTTTTGCACATGACAATAGTACTTCTTGCTCACTCTTGCCTTAAAGCTTTTGCACAAGGTCATGCTAATCCTTGGTGTTGTTTCCCATTCAGTAAGCTATAGGTGATGACTGTCTCTGGTATTTAATAGTGAAAGCATGTGCCAATCTAACTACCGATATTGCCAAAGGCAATTTGTTAAGCTTATCAGTACGATAGCATTTGCTTTGTGTCACATTCTTATGAAGGAAAAGATCCATATCATAGAATAGCTATTGAATCACACCCATATTCTTTTGAATATCTTAAATGTCAAATAAATTTATATCAGAAAAGTGAAAATGACAAACAGCAGAATATTCCATGAATAAACAGTCAAAACTAAGAAAAGGAGTATTTGATCAATTACTACTATCTGATCTTAAGAGAGGACTGTGACTGAGCAAAGACTGAATTTTCTGCACCTCCTTTGTTGTACTTCATATTTCAATGATCAATATATCAGACGAAGCTAATCACAAAATAGCAAAAAGAAGTAGAGTTGTGAACCTTAGTTTTCCCTTTGGTAAGCGATCAGCATTATAATCAGCATCTAGTAGCTCAGCCATCTCACCAAGCGCAACCTGTGAAAATACATAACTCAAATTATCAGTGATTCTCTTCAAGAAAAAAAGAATCACTAAAAAAGCAATTATTTCAATGTATGACATATACCTCACATAAAAGCAGCACCCCATCCCTTGATTGACTTGATGCACAACAATAATTTGCACTTTTTGAGAACATATCAGCAAAATAAACTCCCTTTCCAAACATGTAACCTGTAACTGGTGCTTCTGGAGGAGCAATACGCAAACCTGTTGTTCATGGAGCAAAAGAAGTAACTTCAGGTACTATCTCAACTCCAGTAACAGAGTCAATAAATAATTGTTTCCGTTAAACATCAGTTTGAAAAGATTATTTCTTATGACACCTCAGAAACTTAAAAATGATTAAACAATTGGAGGAATGAATAAACTGTACATAGAGTGGGAAAGTGAAAGAAGCCAATTTCACTTTCAACAGAAAGGCCTGGTTTCTTACATAAAGCAAGAATATTACAACTTACAGTGAAATGAAAGATCACTACTAAGTTGCAAGACCATGACATCATTCAAACAGTTGGTCATACAAGTAAGATATTATAAAGAGAAACTTTATATTCAGAAGTTCTTTGTAGAAACCTGTCCGTCGAACTTATTGCAAGAAAACCAACCCATCAAAAACCACTTAATTGTTAAACAACATTAAAAAAAGGAGAAGAGATACCTTGTGAAAGGATGCCAGTCCAATTGGTGAGGCGAGAACCATGCCAAAGAAGCATCCTATTCTTTGTACTAGAGAACTGCAATGAACAAAAAGCATATTTCTGAGAAATAAGCATTAAGCATTCTTGACACAAAATTACAAAAGTGAAACTTTGAAATGGGAACAATTTACCAGAAAAAACAAATGAAGCATAAAAACAAGGAAACTAGAAGAGCCCATTTTACCTTTCCATAGCGTTCAAGTTCACCCTTCCTGGAAACCTTAAATATCTGCACGATATCAACTCTATAACCCGAGTGTGTTTTGGCATGCGTGTTCAGCAGATATTTCTTTACCTGCTCAAAGAGAAAAGTTACAGTAAACATAATGTAAAGGTTACCATAACAGAGTATATAAATTTAAGTTTAATTCAAGTTAAGTCAAGAATTTCACAATTTACATCATTGGTTTTTTGATAGCCATCAACATTTTCATCATCACTGTGTATACAGTAAAATAAATATAAATAAAATATACTTGTAATATATATATCCTCTAAACAAAGGTAGTAACCATCCGATCACTATCTATATTTCTTAAGGTAAGAAAATATTCTTCTGTTAATATGAGCAGAAGAATTGCATTGTAACATACACAAATTTTGCAGGCATTTAGCATGAGGCTGATTAAGCAGATGTAAAGATACGATGTACATCAATCTTTTAAAAAGTATCACTTGAATTGATTATAGGTTTGCATGAGCTTTATTTTTAAGTGCAAATTTAAAAAGCAAAAGATCTTGTAACATTTGGATTCTGTAATGCAACATACTGACATCCAGTGAACAACTATCATGTTTTTACAAGAAATATGAAAGCCAATAAACCATATATCTCATGGCATATTGTTAGAATAATCGATGAACCAAACATTTCCCCAAAATATAATTCTATCATGAAAACTGCATAACTTGTATTTCACATGACCATGTTTTGTGTACACAACATGTAAGGTATATAGTTGTTTAATAATAGCACAAAAAAGTACCTAAATGTATTTACCAATCCCACTTTGATGCAAATAGGAGCAAGTTGATATATAACCATGGGTTACAGGTACCAGTATGCACCATTGATTGGGTATAAACATGTACTTTGCTATTGAGATATTAGCACAGTGTAGAGGTTTCCACCATGCCCGTACACATTTTGCTGAGCCAGTATAATAGTGCATTTTGGCATGCAAGTGCCCTATGCAGCACAACGTACACATCAACATGAACTAATCTTGCTACAGAAGGACCCTGACATATTATTGAAATGTGCCAGAATGGGAGGCAGGAGATGGTATGAAGATCATGCCAAGACCAGCATAACCATTACATGATAGTTTGATCCTTCTATATAATCCAAACAGTGCAGCAAGAATGTCATTATATGTGCAGGTTTGATTTCGTCATTCCATTTGGCAAATTTCAGATTTACAAATTAGGGTTGCTGCATTAACAGACAAAAAAGTTTATACTTCACAACAAAATTTAATACTTTTGTGCCTGCATAAATCTTAATTGTGCAGTTGGTAAAGTAAACATCTGACATCAAAGTTATACAGAGATGAAATTACATTGAGAAGTTATGATACATCTGTTATATCAACTACAAAGACTTAAGGGAAAAAACTCTTGAAGATAAAATCAATGAAACAATTTTTTTACAACAGGGACTGACGGGACTTTGAAAATCAGCTACTACTTTATTAGACATCAGAACCGACCAAAGTAAACAAAATTTGAGTCAACGAATTATCTGGTCTACCATATTCGACAATATGAAAAGGTAAATCTAATACAATAATACTATGGGAATGACATCCAGTGTGCATAGTCAGAAATGAAAGCCAATGGAATAGCTTCCAGAAGCTCAAAAGTATTTATATTGAAAATGATTTAGATAAAGCTGAACCAATTGAAGTTTTAACATTTGATGTCAATCAATTTTTAACACATAAGAAAGAAAAGCATGGTTTACCATAGCAAATTCATTGGTATCAGCTTCAATTGGTGATAGTTCACAATGCAGTTGCTCATAACGACAATATAGAGGGTCATCCTTCAACATCAAAACAACCTGCTGTCAAACATTTTCTAAAAGACAAGAAGTAAAACATATGTGCTTGCACTTGGTTTTACAAACATAAAAAGGAAAAAGGTAAACTGACATAAGTTGCAGCGTGTGTTTCCAAGCTTAAGAAAATTGTAAGCAGACATGAAATCAGAGAAAGAAGAGAAGCTACAAAGCATAGAAAAAAATTAGTAACTAGATACAACAACCTAGATACACTTGAAGAGAATCAGAGAGACAAGAAGGGGAAAAGTAAGACTTAGAACCAAAGGTAAAAAAACAATCACGAAAATTCAACTTTCCAAATTGAAAACAATCAAGGTAGCCTCATAGGAATCTCAATTCCTGAACAACAGTTTAATGTGTTCTATTCCCTCTCAAATACTTTGGAAATTGTATTCTTTGTTGAGAACAGAGTGAAGGCCCACCTAAATCAGCATCTACTTGTTTGAACATCCTGACAAAGTGTTGAATGTTAGTTTTCTAGGAGCAAAACATCTAAAAGTTGTTAATTTCATCCTTCTTAAAAATTCATCTGTATGGGTAGTGTGGAGATCAACCTAAATTTTCCAAGATAGTGAACACACAACTGACCCATCGAATATAGGATGTTCAATATATTGAATAAACAAGGACAAATATTTAGTTAGGCAAGCCTCCAAACTATTGCAGCTTAAGGGTAATAAGTTGTCCATAGATTCATGCTAATACTGAATAATAGGAGTCAAGACTTTTTTCTTCTATGACAATAATAACAATATCACCAACAACAACAAGCAGCACGGTCCGAACCATCTGGGGTCAGCTGCATTAGTTTTTTTCTCACTATTAAGTTACATTCTTCCTAATCATACTTTTTTTTTATTCAACATCAGATCATTTTTTAGAGCAATCCAGAATTAATTTATTTGCAAAAACCTAATCGATGACTTTGTATTATCAATAACTACAAATATTTGCTCAAGTTACCAAGCAAACCTACCAAAAACAACCTTAAGTGCAATCTAAATCATCATATTGCAGGTTTTGCATCTGCCTGAATCTGAAGATGTTCTGCAAAGAAAAATTGTCTAGATCATATGTTCAGAATGAATCCCTCCAACTTAACTACCTCCAAAATCACCTGCCATAAAGTTCCATTACTTCTTCTGTGATGCACAAATACAATCATGAGAACTTGCAAGATGTGTAGATTGTTCAAGATCAAGGTAAAAGTTGAAATATCCCATAGAAAGTAGTACGACTAATAACCTTGCCTCAGATGAACTCGACTCAGAAAAAGTAATACTCAAGGAGAAATCCAAATAGGATAAAAAAGCCCTCTATGAATTTGAAGAAAGATCTACAATAAAAGGATAGGGTTTAAAGAAGATGATGTTTGTTGAGGAAATCATGTGCAGGAAATTTCTTTATTCAGTTTTTCAGGATTCAGACAACTTGTTTTGTCATATAGTTGGACATGTAAATCAGTGAAACATCAGTCAGTACCCCAAAACTGCAACTTTGTTTTGCCAAATACAACAGAAACGTTCAGTTCTCACATGGTAAAAACTGAGAAAATCATATTTTAAATGAACCATATGTGAGTGACTACTCTCAGTATGTTACAATTAGTTATTATCACATTACTGCTATTAATGTGGATCTAAATTTGGAAAAAACCCTGATTATCAGGATTACTATTCACATAACAATATACCTGTGTCTCAGAATCATCCTTCAGAAGTTTAGTCGCAATCTCAATCTCAGCTAGGCTCTCAACCTTCAAGTATAATGGAAAAAGAGACATTAGTAGAGAAGCAGCTAGATGTTGGAAGGTCCAAATTTATGGTAAAGATAGAAAAAAAGGGACATGTAAGAGAGCAATACATAGGGTAAACCATAAACTGAGTAACACAAATGGTAAAATTGAAGGCTAGCTTATATAGTTGTCTAGAGACTCCAAACATGGGTTGCTAAATATCAGGTGAAGTCTGGTCCAGCAGGTCCCCGACTGATATATGGAATGAATTTTGAAAAGATCTAATTAGCTCAAGTCAAAAAGTGAAAACTGGAAATATATATGCTACGGTAGAAGTTCCTGGGGTGGAAAGCCTTGCAGTTCAACATTGTATACAAATACCACAATCAGCAAAAGAGAAGCCAGTAGTTATCTGTAGACATCTAGTCATGCTTGTGCATCTATTTCTGACTTGATTCTTAGTTGATAAAAAAACTTGATTTGAAACTGAATAATCCAATGATTTAAGTCAAGGCAAAGGTACTTCACTAAATCTGACATGTTGTTCCACTGCTAGCAAGTAACTTCTACTCACAATTTAGTAACAATATAGATTACAGTGTTCAAGACAACAACATAGCAGTAGGTGGAATTTATGGACAAAGAAATTGATGAATCAGTTAGCATACTGTTTCCTCAAAAGACACATGCAAGTATACCTATGCTAGAGATAACAAAATTCAATAAACAATATCTCAGCAAAGCAGATAAAGTTACCCTGATCTAAGTTAGTAAATATAGACAAAATATACCAAAGTTCTTTTGAAAAAAAAAAAAGGGCTTACCATTTCTAGCTTTCTCTTTAATTTGCTGGAGCTGTCGATAACAAACTCACCTGGAAGGCTCATTATTTACACGAATCAGTACCACAGATAGCCAGTTAAAATAAAATTACAACAAAATTAAGCATTGCACAAACTAGACTGGAGAAATGGAACATACGCATCTTCCTAAAACCGAAGTCATGAGGTATCACAGTGTAGAACTCCCTGCAGAATAAATTTAAGATATCAAGACGGTAAAATTCAGATAACATAAACAGATCACATCATATTTTATATATATATATATATATATATATATAAAGGAGGAGCAGAACCATTGTAGAATGATGTCATAAAGAAAAGGGGAAAAAGAAAGAAAAAACAAATATATTGGTTTATATTTCTTCATAAAGATAGAGGCTGAAGTTATAGATCTGGAATGTTTTTGCAGTTGTAATGGTAGAAGAGACAGGTGATGCTTTCTTGGGTTTGAAGCATATCCTTATCGGCTCATTCGCTGATCTGTACAGAGACGAGTATTGCCCCCTATAACAAAGCTGGTCAAGTTGTGATTTCCATCTTTCCTTAACTCTTCTCATTTAAATTTTGTTTTTTATAGATTCGTTCCATCTTCCACAGTTATACATCACCATGATAAAATCATTAAGGTAAAGTGTTGACGTCATATTGACAATTGTTTGCAATTTATATAATGTTGATGAAATTTTGCTTTGTAAGCAACCAATACGATGGTTGCGCACTTTTAATTGACTAAATGTCTTTTACCAAATAGAAAGAGAAGGTAAAGACAGGAATTGTGCAATAAAGCAAACGGAGAAACAGAATCACTGATACATATAGACGCACATAAACAAATACAGACATGCATGTATATACAAAATATTTAAGTGTCAATTATGCCCTTCAGGTTTTGTATATAGGGAGTTTCAGACCAAATAGAAACCATCTAATACATCGTAACTTTCAAAATGCTCACACTATTATCATATAAATGTGATATAGTCGACATTCAAAATTTAGAACACTTAGACATCAATGGACAAGATAAGTAATCAGGAGATAAAGGCCATCTTAAAGCTCTGTATTCTTGAGTGACCAGATCCAACCCAATATCTAATCATCCATATCTTAAATTGACTGACACACAATTTATGTGAAATTTATCCTCTTAATTTCCCAACTTCTCTCTTGGTACTTTCCTCCAAGGCTTATATTGATCTCCAGTTTTTTGTGTCCTAGCGTGACAGCCTCTTTTTATGACTATAATCCTCTAACCGCGTAACTAAAAAACTTTAAATCAAGAGTCTACCCAAGAGATCAATACAACCCTTCTAGTATTTAAACTCAATTTCAGTCCAAAATCAAAAAGCAGTGCTTATCATGCTCATGTTGATTAGAAACACTAGCACCTTAATGTAATCAACTTTCTAAACCAAAAAGGAATATTGAAGGATGCCAAGTAGGGCACACCTCAGAGAATTGATGAAAAGAAGTACGTGAAGGAAAGGCCCGCGGGGTCTAGGAAGGGTCCAAAGAAATGTTAATAAAATATTTTCACTAAAGCTAGAGGATCTACATTAAATAAAATCTTTTCACTAGAGCTAGAGTATCTACATTCTTGTACCAACAAAAAGGATCTTATTTGATTACTTTGGGATAGACTAACATCGGAATAGTTCCTTTTTGACCAATATATAATCATATATTTGTGTATGCAATAATTACAGCATTAACCTTGGGCACTGCTATATATATGCCATTCAACACAAAATGTCCAACTACATTGTTGTATCTCAAGCCCACAAAAACAAATGATAATGTTGAAAATTTTCTAACATAGGAGAGATTAAGTTTTTCTGGCATGAATTTAGTAACATCTAGCAGACTCTGAGTTATTTGCTTAGGTTCTATTGCATTTTTTCTCAGTATCATTTCTCAAATCACTTAAAGTGGAGTAAAATTATTCTTAGCCAGACTAATAAGTTAGTTGCTGATACAAAAATAAATGCACAAATCATTCATCTTCCAACCTCTAGCAGCCATTTTGAAAACAATTACACTCTAGTAGTAGATCAAGCCAATAAAAGTATCACATGCATACCCACTCAGTTCTTCCAATTTTTTCCTATCTGATTGTGCAATCACCTCTGAGATTCTTCTCAGAACATCATAACCCTGTAAAAGGAACTTACCATCATCTGCAAAGCATCCAGTAGATCTATAATAGTAGGTGCAACATCAGAAAAAGCTTAAAGAAACAAATCTGTTCTATATTCATCATCAACCTTAGACAATATATAATAATGAAGGCAATAAAATGAACAAAACCTATAAACAGAAAAAGAATATCCATCCCATTAAATGTAGTAGTTAAGACTTCAGACAAAAACAGAAGTGTTCGTTCTTAGCCTTAATGGCTTCAAAAGTGATTCTTGTCATACAAAAAAAAAGAAAAATTGTTTAAGACACACCTGTAAAATACAGTTCTGCAAAAGCTGGCACACTGTCCAAGACCTCAATCTATATCACAGTGTTTATCAAATGGCAAGTCCATGATTACATGCATAAAATGAATCAGCAACATATACTAATTTCAGAGTTACTAGATCTGAAATTTTATCAAGAAAGATCGTATTGAAGTCCAAGTCCACTGAAATATTTTCTGGAATCGCAAATGTGCAAACTAAACAAAAACCTTGTGCAAAGGCCATGGATAATTGTTCTTATAATGGACTCACAACCTAGAATGCAGACCAATGTTAACCTTCCTATATCACGGCCTCACTTTTGTGCAGGGCTTGTGCTTCTTGCAAGTCTCACCTGAGCCGAGCAGTGTGGTCCATGTTAGATGGTTTATTTTTCATTAGTGGGTTCAGAGGTTCTGTGAGTCAGATGAGGTATGCAGATATGTTAAGTGATCCTTGAACCATAAATCATGGAGTAATTCACCAAAAGAATCAATCCAAATTCACTTATGAAATTAAGTCTGGCAGAAAATACATGCATGACTAAAGGAAATGTTGTAGCATGCCATGTGCATTTACACTCCAGATCTAGTAGGTTTCAATTATTGTTAGAACCCATATTGGATGACAGTGAGGAGGGAAGAGAGGAAGGACAACTAGTACTGAATAGCTAATGTTGACTAATTCATCGGAAGCAAATATTTTAAATAGTAACAGTCAAAAAAAGAGGTAAAGGGAGCTAAGGATGTTGACCAATACAAAGAAGATAGATGAGAAATATAGGACACAAAATAAGAAAAGGAATGTCATGTGATTACTTTGAATGACCTTTAGCCATGCTTTTAGAAAATTCAGGCATCACTTAGTAACAAGATTGGTAGTACCCTGATAACATGTTGGAACCTACTTGCAATACAATTAAAACTAACAATTTTCCTTTTTAAGAAATACAATCTACAAATGAATTTTGTTCCCTAAGTATGACCTGGAAAACACTAATATAGTAATAATGATGTCATGCTAAAATGGATTGTTTTTTACCTAAATACTTAATTGACAATAAAAACTACAGAAAAAATATATATTATAAAATGGATCATCTTTTTTTTCTAAACAATTAATCGACAAAACAATGCCTTCTTATTATTCTTACAATTCCATATGATTGAAGATGATATCACTTTGCACAGTTTATAGAAAAAAAAAATAAAGCTCATACTAGACTTCAATTACAAAAATTTTTATCATATCACACATATACTAGGCCTTCCAATTCCTTAAGGGGTTTATCTAAATGATCACAAGTTGTTTTGCATTATGTAATTCAAAAAAGAATAAAAATGACAAATCCGAGATGAGCTTCACCTTTAAAATTGTAGACTTACTCAGCTTACCAAGTGGCAACTTTTCAGCATTATAACCTGGATGAATAAAGATAAGATGGTTATCTCTAAAAACCTAAAACCATAGGCACTCAGCATCATCACATATCATACTTAAATAATCCAAGACATGGTAGTAAATTTACAATAGAAATGCCAGAAAAATTAAAAATTAGTGATATGTACTGCCAAGGTATTCATTTAAAGGAACATGAAATACTATGGTTAGACTGTTGCCCAAATTAATTTTGTTCGACTATTTTGACCATCAAAATGATTTGTCAAGTTCTGCAGCATAAAGACCATTGCATCACCTTCCTGGTCATTTGATTGATAATCATCATGAAAAAATTTCTTTCTAAATCTTGCATCTCCAGCATTTCATGCCACTACATAGAATCTTAGATGGTACCTTCGATTCCCTTCAAAAGTCCAGATGAACGTTATCAAACAGAATTGACCCAACAAAATGGTACCAATATAGCCCAGATATCAAACTTAATAGTTTTAACTTCTAACAATTACACCATGCAAAATATACGATTGCCGATGTATGCAAACCATGAAACCTGCTTCTCCATGTCTCAACTTCCCTCAACCACAATTTATTCTGTCCCTGCTCCCCACATCACCTCAACCTTGTCCATCCACTTAAGAGGCCCACTCACCTTGAGCCACTCCATCTTTTCAGCAAGGAACTGTAAGTAAATTTGCCACATCCCACTTCTTGGTTCAAACCCTCAGAGCCAGCATCTGGAACTTTCTCCTTGCCAGCATTTTTCCCTCATTGTCCCCTTTCTCTTGATAATTGTAATACCCATCCTGCCACAATCCTAAAAAAATATGTATCCTGTGACTTCCACACTGAATAATGAGAAACTTGCAGCAGATAGATTTGAGCACAAAAGCTCATTTAAATGTTAAAACCATATGTTGCAACTAAGTACACAGCTTGCTGTTACCAAACGAGCTAGATCTTTCACCGCATCATAACAAGATCATTAGTACTCGCCATAAGCTTCTCCATCCTTTCATGTCAAACAAACAGCTCCACCAAATGCATCATGCATAATGTTAGTTATTAAAAGAAATGTTAATCATGTGCATGTATAGACGGCTTACCTATTTCCAACATTTGCTGCTTCATCATACTGATATTGCAGATAAGGGAAATAAACTTGGCAATACGGGAATCAAGTTTTGTAGCACGAAGTTGACTACTACTTGATTGACAAGTCTTATCGGGTGCCTGCAAATAAAAGAAAATCAAATGTCTATGTTCAAACATATATTCTACAGAAATACTAAATAGAGAAAAGTTAAAGCCTGTCATCACAGGATACAATGCATAACTGTTCCATTTTCTGAATCGGTATAATCCATTTCCAGCCAAGTGTAACATTTTGGGTGACATTTAAACTCTTTGCGAAGACACCACTGGTTCTTTGTCTTGTCATAAAACTTCTTCTCAAATTCATGTATCGCAGCTTCTTGAGAAGTATAAGGACCTAGTAACTTGTCTTGACCTCTTACTCCGACCCTACCCCATCTATGGTAAACCATGTACCTTATACCATCATCAGATTCTGCAAATAATATATGGTTAGTCTATGAGTATATAAACAATCTCTCAGTGATAAAGTACAATTACATAAATATGACTATGACAAAAACACAAAATTATATTTATAAATGCACCATGAGTATCACAAACTTCAAGTGTAGATCTAATGCCTAGCATGCCAAATGGCCTAGAAGGAAAGTGTTGAGAATCTTGAGACATGGGGAGGATACAGTTGCAATTATATGCTTATATTATACTAAAGATGATAAAATGTGAAGCTGAACTTGTGATAGGTCCAAAGATAAAAATTAAGCTACTGCACAATTAACTTGAAACATATAACTAGTGGATTAGTGTTAACACAAGGTACAAGTCATATCATAAAATTTACAAGTGGGAGAGAAGAACCATCAGATATTCAGAAATTAACGGGAATCTAGACATTAATTCACATAGAAAACTAACAAAATTTAGCAAAATTCCTACTCCATCCTTTCCACTATGCTTTGCAATCTTCTATGAATGTTCCTCTCGAGCAGAACAGCTTCATTTTGTCTTTGCACTTGACTAATTATGGATCAACAACTATCACATTCAACAAACCAATCCATTAGTTTTTCTTTTTCTAAGACGCATTCATTTACATTTCAAAAATCCAAAAGCCAAAATGAGAAAAGAATTTTTTTTTGTTTTAACAAGACCTTAGACTTGACCAACTATCATAGATTTACATGTTGGATCAAATCAGAGAAGAACAGAACAAAGAAATTACAAACCTAGAACCTGGATCACAAAAAACTTGTTGTTGTTATTTCCAACATTTGTCTGATTTAGGGTAGCACTGTACATCTCCTCTCCCTGCAACAAAAACATAAAGAGTAATTAAATCTGATGGGTTCCCAAAATTCACAACGCAAATTGCCATAAAAACATTTAAAGATAGTTTTGCATTAATACTAAAAAGCTGATTCAGGAATTATTAACCACACAAAATTATACTTGACATGAACAATCAACAGGACATCCATCAGGTTTCAAGAATGAGGTACAGGTCAACTCCATAAATGACTAACAACAAAAACTGCAACAGGAAATCCGTCTATCTGATCTACTCACAAGTAACATCCGGCTGAACAATGACAAGTTTTGAAGATTACTAGAGAATATTAAGCAAGGTTCATCGTACCATGGTGTACCGCTTGGTACGAGCGATATATATCGATTTAACAAATCGATATGGACGGTACATATTAGTCTATCGGGACACTCCCACCATATCATATGTCGATACGTGCCGTACCGATGGTCGGTACGTACACTGGTATGAACCGGTAAGGCGAACCATGATATTAAGAAAAAATCAGCATCCAAAGAAATTTCACGCATGCATCTTGGTTCTTAATAATTAGATCCTAGACTCGCAAGCATGTTCTTTCTATGGGGTAAAACCGCAAATAGCATGAGCTACCACACCTCTGGATTAGACAAGCCAGAATAGAAGAAAAATGCCAGAAGGATCTATGTTAGGGTATTTCTCGGCAGTCAAAAAAACATTATAATGATACCCATTATAAATTAAAGATTCAACAACACTTATTTAAACGAAGGTCAACCATCTAGAGATGCACTCCATGTTGAAAAATCTACATGCTCTCCTCCAACATACTTTTATTCATTCCCAGGCAAAATTGTGCTAAAGAAAAGGTCTTTACTTGCATACCTTGTTCAAGACATGAAAGCTCGACTTTATATGATCTGGGAGGAAGGGGTCCAGCACGGCGCCATTCTTTTTGGTCATTGTGACCCGCTTCTCCTCCTTATTGCCCCCCTCGTCCTCTTTATCCAACCAAAATCGATGAGATTAATAAAACCACCGCATGAAACCCACCAAGTAACCCAAACTCTACCTTCGGCATTTTCCACCATGGCATCGCCAGCCGCATCTTTCCGCCTCTTCTTGGCGCCCTTGGAGACGCCATCCGTCAAAGAATCCGCCTTGTCGGATGCCTCCGCTTCCCTTTTCTCCTTGCGGAGAGCGGCGTCCAGCCGGCGGACCTACGGAAGAAGAGAAGGAACTGTGAATGAGCGATGGGATCTAGGGGGAGAGAGGGGCCGAGCGAGAGAAGAGGAAGGGGAGTGAAGACTTACGAGTGTGGGTTTCGTCCCGGAGGTATTGAGGCCGCGGTGGGAGAGCTCGGCGCGGAGCTCGTCGACCTTGAGCTTCGCGGACATGGCGGTGACGAAAAGTTTCCTTTCTGCTGCTGATTCAAGAGAGAGAGAGAGAGAGAGAGAGAAAGTGGAGTCGTTGTGACGAGCACCACTTGAAGTTCAACTTAATAGGGAGGAGGGGAGGGAGGGAAACGTGCCGAGGAAGACTGGACCGAGTAGGGATGAGGGCTCAGGCCCATGGAATTGGGTCGGATGTAGAGCCCTTAAAGAGATCCGGTTCATCCGCATCCGCATCCGACCCAGTAAGTTTTAACCCACATACAGCAACTAAGGGTTGATTCCTCGTATGCCTCACCTTCATTTTGTTCTGCAGATTTACCACATGACTCCGACTTGTTTCCCTGCTTTAGGACCGAGGGTTGTCACACAGCACCGGACACAGGTTTAATAGTGTCTTTCAGAGCACAGGAATAAGAACTGCGATCTGAAACCAAGATTTATCATCAATCATATGTGGACCAGGATAAATCAGATAGTATATTGATACGGGAATTGTATCATCCGATACACTTAGTATAGATAGAACATATACTAGTATCATGCAATTTTTTCTTTTGTTTTTTCAATCTTTTTTATGATTTATCTAAAACTCAGTAACTTCCTATATACCAACAACAGTGTTGCATCGGTATGGACTGCTACAGTACTAGTACAAACCTTGACTCGTTACACTACCGAAATATACAATATACAATATATATATATATATATATATATATATATATGAATATTAAAACAAACATATACAATAGGCAAATGAAAATTTTAAAGAAACAGACATTCACTGGATTTTTTAAACTCGCGATTGCTTCAGTGAAAATTTAGAGAAGACGTATTAATGGCTCTTTAAGTCATTAAAATACGGTCAGATGATGACACCCACTTCATTAGTCTATTTCAGGATGGATATTTTCCTTTTTTTCTTTGTTTGTCATGTGTCCATTACAAACCCATAATATAATATTGAAGGACATCCAATGTCCTCCAAAGTTTCTTCTACATCCAATATAATATTTCATTATCCTCGATCCCATTGAAAAGGGAAATCACATTTTACTCACTGGTTTCCTCTTCACATAGTTCACCAAGCACTAGTCTTGATCCTCTTCATTGGTTTCCTCTCCGCTTTATATCTGCTATCCTATTCACAACCAAGCACAAGTCTTGACATCCCATTGGAAAGCAGCAGCTATATCTTGCGCATTCTCCTCACCGGTTTCCTCTTCACATAGTTCACCAAGTACAAGCCTTGACACTAGTCGAGAAAATTGCCTCCAAATATTCTGCCAACACTCAATTGCTTACCATCATGCATTATTAGCATCCATCAAGTGCAAAGAGACCAGATCAAAGTTTATGTGATGTGGCCACATGTGCATACGGGCTGTGGAATACCTGTAGGAAACCTGCGACGCCGGATCTTGATTTGCCCAAGAACCGTTCGCGACGGGGATCTGCCTAATAAAGCCCCAAGATTCATGGCTCCTCCGCCGGAAAATTGGACGGCTCGAGATGCAGCACCGGGGGCGGAAACTGAAGTCCCGAGCCAGGATGCCCGGTAAGTCGTCCATGGGAGATAGAACCGTGAGATCGAATCGGAAGAAAGGCGTCTTACGTAGCGATTTTCCTTTTTTTATTTTAATTTTCTTGTAATTGGTTCGAATCGAAATCGAACCGAACTGGAATAGAAATCGATTCGATTTGATGATTCACCTATTCCAAACCAAACTGAAACTGATCTGATTTGATTTCGATTCTTGATTTATAGAAATCGAAACTGGTAATTCCAATTCTAGATCAACGATTCTAGTTTCAATGATGTATAGAAATCGAAACTGACGGTCCTAGTTCTAGACCACCGATTTCAATTTCAAACCGGATAAGCATGATAAAAAGATAAGAATATAACCCATTAAGCACCTGTGCTACATTGGTTAAGTGGTTAATTTCAAATTGATGATTCGAACTGACACCATCGATTTCAATTTTGATTCCAAAATAGATCTCAAGCGATTTAATTTTGGTTCCTGATGTTGAGAACCAGAATCGAAACTGATGATTCTAGAATTGTGATCAGGACTAAATGTGCTTGTGTTCTTATGTTCTTTTTTTCCTTAAAATAAGAACCAGAATTTGTGTTCTTATTTTCTTTAGCACATCGAGGCTGGTGATAGACCTTTTTCAAGTGATAGGGAAATGCAAATGCTGATTGCAAAATAATAATAATTCAAGCATTATTTTGCAAAATAGAAACATTAAGCTATGAAGATAGTGCTTATTACACTTCAGACGATAAAATGATCATTCAGTCTTTCCAGACAACAGGAAAGAATCTGCACTATGAAGATAGTGCTTATTACATTTCCAGAATCAAGATGTGTGGATAATAATAGTTGTTCTTTCTTATCATCCACATCTTAACATGCTATCTGACATAAGGTTAATAAGCTAGGCTAATAAGCGTTCAATTTGTACGGCAGGCAATCGGTATTAGTTTAGTGCTTTGGCTTAGGCTTCTTCACTATCATCACAGTGCAATGCGCATGATGAGCACAGTAATCACTCACACTTCCCAACACAGCCCTGCCGGAAAAATATAAATACAGTCCGATTCAGTGGAATTAAGAAACTCTGCAACCGAATGGTTTAAGCATGGCTATCTACTTCAGTTAAGTATCCTGGAAATGCTATGTTTCTGCTTTAACTTGATAAAGTCTATGTTGGTTGTTTATGCAAAGCCAGAATTAACTACCACATTTCTCAAAACTAATTATTTATGTGAGTTTGCTTCGCCATTTCAGTCAACATTCCATTTGGAGATTGCATGCCATGTTACATCACATCACATCACATCCCTGTCCAAGAAATCACCAATTATTCAGAAATTTATCATCCTCCTATTATTCATAGGTGAATTACCAAAGGACATCAAAGGTCAAACGTACTTCAAAATATGTTGTCTGGTCTCACAAACTTCCCGTGTGCTCTTTGTTTTCCATGCAACTTTATTTTTGAAAATGATCTTTTGATAGCTTAGTCCAACATCCAAGTTTCAAAGTTCAATATATCATTAACACAAATCAACTTTATTTTCTAAAATAAAATCACCAAGAATAAAGAGTCTCCATCTTGTCTTTTCTTTTTTGTGTTTCCTATATGTGCAAAGTCGAGATTTTATGCAGTTGCAGACAGTATACATGCCCAGAGTACACCGATCTACACAGTTTTACCATTTTTTTCAAGACTTCACCTGTTATGTGAAATCTATATATTCACATCCTTCAAATTACACTGCAGTCAATTTAATATTGATGTCTAACAGTATCTTAATGTTATAAACTCAGTAAAAATTAAGCCGCAACAGTGATTAAAAGGTTAAAAGATTAAACAAGAATTTCACTACATCCTCGTAGAAATTGCATGATTGTAAATTATTGTTTCAATCCACATCTTGGTTTTTACATTTCTATGTTAAAGTTAGACATGCCTAAGTCTAAAAGCAGTCTGAATCTTAGCTCTTTAGCTTTCTTCCAAACACACAGTACAAGAACAACTCATCCTCCATTATCCTTGACCATCTTTTCCAGACAATAGGTGAGTGAAAATCCAACAAACTCTATAGCTCAGTAAGAAATAAAGGTTATTAATTTTTACCATTTATTGTAACATCAAATATCTTGACAAACCTTATTGAATGCCAATTGATGCTATATTCCATCACAGAGTTTATATGTTAAATGAATCAGTTTCTAAGGCTATTGCACAAGGTGATTCAACAGGTGATGATACACAAATACGGAAACTCGAAGATCAAAAATAGAAAGTAATATCTAAAAAATGCATCACTATGGTACTGGAAGATCGAAAATAAAAGAAAACAATATGTACCACTGTGTAAAATCAAATTTAATACGAAATGGAAAAAACATGTTACCTTTTAATTGCTCCGTATCCATGGCTTCCCACAACCAACATTTCAGCATGGTGTTTGTCCACTGCCTCACACAGAACGTTTCTGGCATCTCCTTCCACCACTTCGTATTCAACATCAAGCACCTATGTTCAGGGAAATTAATAAAGAAAAGGTCCCAATGAATTCTAGCATTCAACAGAAAAGTCCATAAAAACAATAATCTTTACAGTCCTCTTGGATTGGTGATTATTTTGAATGTCTGTATTACAATACACCAAATCCTTTTGCCACTACTGTGGCTCAAGAATGGTATTTGCAAACGTTAAAAGTGTAATTCCTTTGTTTGCTATGAGCTCAACGCACTTAATATCAAAATGGTCACATTCTTAGCTGCCAAAAGAGGCTTTTATAACCTTATAAATAGGATTACGTGTTTCTTATTTAGTTGAAGAGCAGTGCTTTAGACACCTTCAAACGAAACCCAAAAAGGAAGCAGCATCTGAGATACTATGTTGGGCTGCTTTTGTTGATGCAAAGAAGCAATCCTCAAAAATGTTTACCGAGTTCACAACATTAACGAACGCGAGTAACCATAAGTCTGCCAAAACAACAAACATAACTATGAAATGACGGCTTCACTACGACCACTAGTTAACCGAATTATATGGCGGTAACGACAATTCACAAACAGCCTCGCCAAGATTTGGAAACCCTAACGAAAAATTGAGAGCCACGAAGTTACCGAATGGGCGGCGCAGATATCCTTAGCTTTCTCGATCACCTGCGACGAAATCTTCCTCAGATCTGACTCCACAAACGGCAGCACATCGGCCGCTCCTGCGATCGTCAAGACAAAGACACAATCGATTGAATCACAGGCTAGGGGAATGGTAACTGAATCCAAACTTCATATGGAGGGATAAGAAGAAGAAGGCGAGGTGGAATACCAGGGCTGGCGACGCTGATGACGGAGGTCGGCGTGGGCTTGGCGGTGACGATCACGAGCTTATAGGACTCGCTGGGACGGACGGCAGGGGAGAAGAAGTGGAGAAGGGTCCACTGGAGGGCGTAGAAACTGTGCTCGCTATCGTCGATGCCCACCACCATCACCGCCTTCCCCACCGCCGCCGCCGTCGACGCATCCTCCGCCTTTGCAGCCATTCCCTCTCACTCTTTTCTCGTCCCAGAAAGAGGAAGAAAGCAAGACAGAGAGCAGTTCGGTACAGGTTCCAAACGGGAGCGGTAAAGAAGGCGGGCTAATTGCGTATTAGCCTAAGCCTACGTAGTTAGCTATGTTTAGTATCCTGATTATTATCTTTTTTTTTAATTTAATTAATATTTTATAATTATGAAAATAAAATATCTAAGTCCATTTAACATTTTAGTCGGTGATGATGGATGATGTCGATGGTGATGGATAACATCATCGCTAGGTCATGGGTGGTTATGAATACGAAGAGTAATAACGAAATGTGATGGTTACTTAACAACTGCGTCGATGACAAGTATGATAACATACTCAATATCGAATTCTGAGACTAATATTTTTCTATTATTATTGGATATATCTATCGAGAGCTCGACAATTACTCGCCTGCTAATCTCACAGAGTTTCCCTTCTCGATCAATGACAATCACGACAAATAGAATTTCTCCTCCAACGAGCCCCTCAATCTCCCCTTTTTATACCCATGTCGAAATGACACAACAACAATGGGAGTGGTAGAAGCTTCGACGACTCTAGATTCATGTCAATGATCCGTCCAACGAGTCAATGACGAGGCAGCCATCATCTTCGTTGTAGACATCATGACAACCACCACCATTCGTGTCAATGCCGATGTAGGTGCCAAGCAATGAAAGGATCGTCGATATAGATGTTGAGCACCTCTTTCATCACTTAGCAAATGTGTCGAAGTCAACGCAGATGCAAAGCAACAACAAAGTCACTCGACAATTGCATCAGCATCGACGATACAAATGCATAGTGACCCTCACCTCTTATCATTGTTCTATTCATTCACAATAACTAAATCCCCAACAGCATCGTCATCTGTCATCACCGACATCGTCTGCTATCATCAATTAAAATATTAATTTTTTTTATTTTTTATTGATAAAACCAATGATATTAGAATAGACATTAGGTTTAGGAAAAATGGATGTTTCACTGTCGGATACGCTTTCTATTGTTGGATTTCTGGCCCTCTCGTACACAACTCTCATCTGCGCGGAGTCCTTGTGGGCCATCAGAAGGGCCACTGCGATAACCAATCACGAGAAAGGTATGTGTCACAGGAGGTAAGCGTGTTCAGTCAGAGAGAGTATTTCTCTCATTAATCAAGGTTTGCTAGTGAATCCCCAGCCCTAAAAAAAATCATTAATCTCCTTCTAAATGACATCCTATCTGAGAGATGTACCGAAAAGCTTGCACCATTCATCACTTCTACTTTCTTTTTTCCTCCTCTTATTTGTCTATATTTTTTTATTGTATCTTTCTATTCAAAGATACATCTAGATTTTAAACTAGAAGATGGCAAAACATGAGTGCAAATGTATCATGGCAGATGCAATAACTAATGACCCATGGCAGATGCCAATGATACTGCCTTCATTGATGATCCTATGCAATAAACGATGGTCTAATCAATGCTATTGCGCCTTTTGATGCTTACCTTGTTTTCATGTCATGCGTGTAAAATAAGTGGATATTATCTTTTCGAATCTTTTTCATTGATAGAAGATCGATTTAAGGAGTTGATTTAATTATGTGATTTGAATATATGATTGATAAAAATCTATCCTTTAAAACTTATATAAATATTCATCTCCTCAATGAATAAAAACAATCTCTTTCGTAGTAAATTTAATATGTATATGAACCAACTCAACGATGATCCATGTGACAAACATTGTGCTCAAACCCTGACTTGTGAAAAGGGATTTTGCCAACTAATTGGGATGCCCATGAATGGAGAGGATGCTTTGAATTGACTCCCAAAACAAATAATGAGGTGACAACCCACATGGTTTCCACCAAAGAAAAAGCTTCTTTTGCTATGGTGGAAGTGTGTGGTCTCCGAGGAATCACAGGCCCACCCTTTCCAAGACCAGCAGCCCTCCATGGCCCCCCACCCCTCGCACTTATATTTCAATCAATTATAGTATCTTGTTCTGTGTTATATAGTTGCATTCCATCTTCTTTCGACTTTCTTTCTTGATTTCCTGAGAAAAGTAACAGATTTTGTGTTCTTCGGTTCTTCCCTCCCTTATTTTTATTTATTTTCTCAGCAAAGATAAACAAAGGATAATCGTAGCGAGTAGCTACGAACCCCATAGGAAGAAAGTTGCTGATGGACCTTGAGAAGGTGGCCATTTGATGAGCCCAGGAACCACCAGATCTGCAACGGGGAACACACAAAACAGAGGAAAGATATAAAGGAAACAAAAGAAACAAAGGACAAGCAAACTAATTGCATAGAAAATTGGAAGGTGCAATTACTCAGCACGGCTCAATACAGCATCAATATCTCATTAAACGCAATGCAAGACAAAGACAGCCATGGCATCATCACGAGGCAAAAGAAAAAGACCTTCAATGTTTCACTAATAAAAATAACATGATTTTTATTAGTGCTATAAACACTGTGAAAACCCAACAGTTGTCTCAAGGGACAGAAATGATATTTGATGGAATACAGGTCTTTCCTAGTGGGAATCGCTGCTTCAATCACGAATCATTTAAAGACTGTTAACTACATAAGAAAGTGCAGCACCTTCCATCTCAATGCAGTGTAAAATTTGGTGGTCATCAACTCCTTACACCAATTGTCCCTTGATATCAACCAAAAGAAAGTACCATAAAATATACAGAATCTTCTATGCAACTTTCATGTTAGTGTTTTTGGATATCTTCCCAATTGTTCTCCTTCCAGATAGAAGGCAAAGAGAAAAAAGAGACTGATAGATATAGACAAGGTACACAAAGCCCCCACTTATATAGAAACAGCATAAGTGAACCATTTGATTAAAATTTACACCAACAATATCTCATCTGACATTTAATGAAAGTAAATAAAATCATTTTGAGGAAGCAAAAGAACAGTGGCACTCGATTAACTTGATACATATATATACACCAGAATCAATATTGATACAATCACAAATGGATGCCTTCACAGCATTCTTGCCATCTGTAATACCCCATAAGCTTGACACTTACACATTTATCCATCATAAATTTGCTTATGTACGTCTCCTGAAAACTGTAGTTCTGTCATACATCATTTTTTCAATAGGAATAAATAAAAATAATCACATGCTAATCTTTGCCTTAGTCTCTTCAATATTACATCTAAAATGAATTAATATCTACTCATTAGGTATGTGATAGTTCAATTGTATGTAGTTAACACACTGTTTGGGACTTCTCCATGAATTTAATGGAAACGCCTTGGACTACTCAGTTGGCTGGACAAGCTCACGCTCATGGTGGATAAGATTTGAATCAAGGATTTGCAATAATAAAGTTCGTTTATTGAAGAAATAAAATGATTGATTCTAGAAACCATGTCGATCACTTAAAAGTTAAAACAACAACAAAATGGTCAAAAACCACTCAAACTGGTTCAAAATCTGCAAAACAACAAAATGCGCATGTGAGATGACTGATAAAGCTACCTCAGGAAAGAAGAAACTATAACCATAAGACTATTGATCAAGCAAAGACCACTTGTCCGAATTCAACTGAGCAGAGATGAAGCTCTCTCTCATAAATCCCTTGAAAAGGAAATGGCCCTTTGCTTCTTGACTCGGGGAAAAAGTACAGAAAATATCCGGTCAGCAGGTAACCAATCTCGCTGTTATCATCAGAGATATGTGCTTCGACAAAAGGTTTCTCTCCTTGTATGCTTAGCAAAAATTCCCAAGACAGGAATTTTCACCAAAAGCACCACTTATATGCAAAGCTTAGAGAGAAAGCCTATAGGAGCACATAAATGTCTGATTTGGCTAATTTTGCATCATACCAGAAGAAAATAGTTCGATAAATTTTAGCTACAATCAAGATCTATGGTGAAGAATATATGCACTTAGGAAATTCATTGTACGAGTAAGGTAACAGTTGCTAAGTGGGAGTCATCTTAACATGAATGTTTCCATCAAGAAATAGTGTGAATAACATAAATTTTTCTTTTCTAAAATCAAGAAATATTGTGAGTAATCTTAACATGAATATTTTCTTTTCCCTGATATCAAGAAATAGACCCTTTTTTTTTCCAGTTTAGACAATATACTCTTGTTAGGCTACTTCTTCAACGTCTACGTTCAAGGCCACCCAGATTGTATTTGTGAGAGATTAACGCATGGCTAAGATCCAAAAATCACACACATAGTGAAACCTCTTTCTTACTAGAATATACTTCAAAAGTGACGAGCACAAATTTGAGTAAATCTGCAGAACTTGAAAAGTACGAGGATCTCATGGCCATTTGAGGGAAAGTTTAGGGGCAACTAGCGACCAATCCCATTAGCATCTTCTCAAAACCAGCAAAGGAACGAAGATAAGTATCAGGGTGATCCACCATAATAGATTTCGATCACAAGCTGAGGCCAGAATCCTTACCCTTTTGTTTTGTTGAGATGCATCTTGCACCTAGATCCGTCTCATTCACCGGACATCGCCCGCATTATCAGCAACCAATCCCATTATATCCAATCTCACTGTTTCCAGAGTGTAAATTCGTTTTGGCAGAATAGAGAATGATCGACTTTAAGATGAAGCTACTGATCTACGAGCAGAACGATTTCTCCTCGAAGATGCCACGTCTTTGACCAAATGATTCACTCAGAAAAGGACTCAAGCATCGAACTCCATAGCATGGAATGGGGAAAAATGCTACAAATGAAGAACGTATAGGGCAAAGAACCGAACCGAATCGAGAGAAGAGGAGAAACGCACCATTTGCCATCCCTCTCGCAAAGCAAGAAGGGTCGTCATCCCTCGCCATGGCGCCGCTCTCGCGAACTACAGGAGCGACAAAGGTCGATGAATGAAACACGAGTCGGCGAACAAACACGAACCGACGAAACAGTTAAAAAGAACCACTAGCCCCGATTCGGGCCGGCCGGCCGGCCTTGCGGTCATCGGTTTGCCTTTGGTTGCACAACCTGAACCGGTTAATAAGTTCCCTTTTGTCTCCTAGTATAAAATAAAGGCACGCCATGTTCCCGACGCGTTATATATTAATATAACGACTTAAATGATATGACAGCCATTATGTAACAAAGATCATAGATTTATACTAATTATTATATCATTTTGTACGTCCATTTCTCATCTAACAGGAACTATCAATGGTTAACACTAGTGCAAAGGTGAGTTGTCCGTAATTTATGTACAACAGAATATAGTGACCACTGTTGCTGCAAATGCTCAGTTTTTAGTTCAACTGATGATTGAGCACAACATCTAAAGGGTTACCTACCAGCTCAAATCTCAGTGAGAGAAAAAATTGATATTACGAGAATAGAAGTTGTAACTACAAAAAAGACCTGCTAAATGGCCTCTTGCAATCATTCAGGATGATGGGAATTAATCTTGTTCAAGCAGGATATAAATATATAAGTTACAATTCTGATGTTGTCGGATGCTGGTGATACAAGCCAGGAGAGTGTATACACCTTCAGATTCTATAAATGTACTTGTTGGGGTGCCTCATTAACTTGGATCTCAGAGCCAAGAAAAAAACCTTAAGACCGCCCATATCTGATCACAGGATCTGCAAAACTATTGATTTGGCAGCAAGCCAGCTATCAAAATGGCCAAAAAAAACCTGGTTGTATCATCCAAAATATTGATAAAAGCAAATGCCACTCAATGACGTACTTCAAATCCTTGCGGAGGATGCAATGCTTCCATCATTAGTCCCCGTTGAGTGAGACAGGCGTAGACGCCCAGGCACATTCTGTGGCACAGCTACCATTAGAGTACTATCACATGAATAATAGGCTAATAAGCACTACTGGTGAAATAAGACAGCCATATGAACACAGGGGGGAAGAAAGGAAAGAAGGATCACCAGCATTGATGTGGTAAGAGTGTAGTTAAATGATTGACTCAACATCATTTCTTTTCAACCTGAAAATGAAATCTTCCAAGTTAATGATGGGAAAGGCAGCGCCAGCATGACGAGCTGCTGCTTTAGGGATCACAGATTCCATTACTGAAAGCAAGTTCTCCAACAATAATATTAAGAGATTGAAAATAAAAGGTTGAACATAACAAGGAAACATAGTTTATGAAACTATGTTTTATAGAAGAAACACGTTTGTTTTAAATTTTTGGTGGTCGAAATAGCAACATATAGATCATCTTGCATTCATGTTCAGAGAAGGTAATATTGTTTATGAAACTTTTCAGTATTAGCAAGTTTAATGTGACATAAATAACACTGAACCAATAAATGAAAAAAAAGGTTATTAACAATTATTAAAAAAATCAATTTTCAAATAAGAACATAGTATTCACACCTTACACAGCCAATAGCAGCCATGTCTGCCAGATGCCGCATTGTTGGCCTACCATGTGGACAATTCCAAGGTGAATTAAGATCCGCCAAATTCCGTAGTATCTAACGGCAATCAGCAAAAGAACCTTTAGACACTAGCACCCCTCAAGCAAATGTCAAAATTGTGGACTAGATAAAGCCAAATTTTAATCAACAGCAATATGGGAATGCTAATGATGAGTCAGGCACAGCCAATTGCATAATCAGGCATGAAAAGAAAATATATTGAGAAGGGAAAAAATGGAAAGTGCATGAGCAGAAGTACGTTTCAGAACACTTGCTGAATCCTGCCAATTATCATGTGGATGTAGAGATAATTTAAGCCATATCATGACAAAACTCCCACCAATATACATCTTCAGGAGGGTAACTCACGTCCATTACATCTATAACTGGAGTTGTTTCTGTGACTCAAATCCTAATCACTTACATTTCTGAGATTCTAAAATCAAGGTTAAACATTTTCAAGGGAAACAAAGTAATCTTTTTAAGCATAATACTCATTAATATGAAAATGGTTCTGTAATCTTACAAAAGAAGTAATCTTTTTACACATAATAGCATTAATATGAAAATGGTTCTGTAAGAAAACCTAAGAACAAATGATCAAGCAAATGATATCAAAAAATTTACTCATTTGTTAAAGCCTAAAGCATCACATGCACTTGCATTTGCAGTAAGATAATACCGGTTGGACCAGAAATACTATTTATTGGTCCAACCAAGGACCATCACCATCTCATATCATAAAAATAGGTAACAGTCAATATTCATTTTTAATATTTTTCCTATCGGGCGATAGGAGAAACTATACTGCCAAGCATACTGGTATGTTATAGTTGCTAAAATCAATATTGGACTGAGATTTAAATCCTTTCTCCAGCAATTTGAATCTCAGGACACATTGACCTTTTAGTTATCTTAAATTAAGCTTCTACATATGCTACCGAGAGTGAGCCTCAGTACAATGATAAATTTGCACCTTTGCCAAACCTGGGTAACCAAAATTCAATTCACACTGAGTGTGATCATTCCCAGACTCCAGATAGACAGGGAGCCTTGTGCTCTAGGTTTGCTGTTCTTTTACATATTTGCTACCAAGAATATAATTTTCTAGAAATCCCTCACATATTTGACATGAGCAGAAATTCCTAGAATGTTTCTGATCAAGCAAAGAAACAAAAATGAACTTTTACTTTTCATCTAAAGGGTTAATCAAAATAAGGGCTGAAATCCATGCCAAGAGGCAAATCCTCAAGCTCAAAAACAAAGAACAAGGATAATAATTTTCTAGAAATCTCTCACGTGTTTGTTGTTAACTTACTTCATGAACATGAGATTGTCCTGAAAACAAGAAATGAAATATACTGATCTCGAATAAATTACCTTATCCCAAGGGTTCAACAAATGAATGCTAACTGCACTTCTAAGGAAATACAATTACACAAAACAAGTTGATTATAGTCTAATGAAGATAAAATTTGACTTTTGTTTGCTACCACAGTTATGGATGCCATACTGAAATGCTAGAATCATCAGGAACTTATGAGTCTATATTTTACCAGATCTAAAATGATAGGATTAGACCATTAGAATGCATTGTGTACCATGAATCTCTGAGGGACCAGAAACCATGCTGATAAAATTACCAAAACATAAATGAAAACAACAATAAGACCAAATCCGAAGCATACAACTAACAAGAACACGTTAAAGAAGTTATATGTGCTTATTACACCAAAGTGACATAGAAGATCCTCAGAACATCATCTATAAAAGAAGAAACATCAAGGAACACAAAGAGGCACGCGTGAACATGCATATATAAATGCACAATGATGCAAAAGACCTGCAATATTTTGATGCTGTAAAGGCAGGCAAAAGCAACTTTTATGGAACCACTAAATCCACAACATAAAATGCAATCTATGATTTATTCAGCAAAAAATGGAAATTATGCTAAAAGCTCCACACAATCAAAATTTGCTATATTATGTTTTCCTACTACATGCAATTTTGTGAGATTTCCGACCTCCACCAAGGTCAATTCCATGTTGAACTTCCACAAGAATACAAGATTACAACAAAATGAGCTATAAAGACAACTGAACATGTTTTTTTGCAAAAGTTTCATCAATTACCTTCTGCATCTCACTTTTTGTCAATGGATCACCAATCATTACAGATGTTCGACAAGCCCGTGAAGCCAACATAGCACGGACTCTTGATGGACAGACAGAATCAGAAGTGTCCATTTTGTAACATCCCATTACTCCACACTCACCTTGATTATCAGAAAGAATAGAAATAAGCTCCTTGACATCTGGGTCAGAAAATAGGAAAAGAAATGATATTATACCAGAAAATGATTCAGTTATAAGACTCTCAAAGATAACTAGCATAAGATAGAAATCAATCTAGATGTACAAGCAGGAGTACCTTCAGCTCCAAAAATGATGTTTCTACTAAATGGTACAGCTTTTAGTAGGAATCGATGACCAGGTGATGCATGCATGTCTTCTATCAAGGTAAAACCATTCTTTCTAACACAAGGCACAGAAAAGTGTTAGAAGTCCAAACAACACATACCAAAGCTACTATCACAATGCAAAGAGTGCAATAAAAATTAGAAGCTTGAGTTAAAAATTTTCTTGTTGCTAATGGAATAAAGGCACAATTCCCAATAAGATGATCCAGACATTGGATCCTTAGCTGAAACCCAGCAATTCAAGTAACTTGAATAAGCTAAGAATTTCATTCTTGATGCTGACTATGTTGGAATTTAATTTTTTGTGACAGGATATTATTTGGTGGACACATCTGTATGATTGTGTTTGATAACCATATTATGATTCATAAACATGTTTTATAGTGAAAATTGGAAAATCACTGCAAATACTTTAATATGAAGAACTATCAGGAATTTTATAAAAGTAAAACCATAGATTGACCTGAACATGTATCAGAACAATTAGAGTGCAGCTGAACTTGAACTTTCCTAACCCAGTTAACTAACAGGCCAGGTTTAGATTGAACAATTTCACGTGACCAAACCAACACAATCCAAAGCATTTGATCAAATCAATGTGACAGGTAACACCCTGTGGCACAAGGTCTTGAAGGAGACCCAGGAACTTAGAGAGAGAATAGAAGATAAATCAGTCTAAAAAGGTTGCCAAGAGAGATCATGATCTTGTCTTTGACATTCCCTACAATTTGTCTTTTATATTCCTAATACTGCTGAAACCTCTCTAACCTTCCCATTTATGTGAACAGCAAATTAAGTTAGGATCAGTTTTCAAAAAACCCTCCTCTCCAAGAATCTTTCAACAAAATCCAATTGTACATTATAAAAACTTAAAGAACTTTTTCAATATTTTTTCATGAACAAAAGACATAATTTCATGGATGCCTATAAAGCTATCTAAACTGAATCCCTTGCCACATTCATAAATTGTTCTTGATGTCCTACTCCAACCTCCCTCATC